CTCGGCGTCCATCGTGGAGGTCAAGGCCGCAGAGGGCAAATGGAAGGTCAAGTTTGACCACCACCCGAAGGACAAGTATGACCGGTGGTGAGTACACGGCCGGTGTCGTCTTTGTCTCTGTGTGTGGGGAGTGTATGGTCTTTGTCTCTGTGTGTGGGAAGTGTATGGTCTTTGTCTCTGTATGTGGGGAGTGTATGGTCTTTGTCTCTGTGTGTGGGGAGTGTACGGTCTTTGTTTCTGTGTGTGTGTGGGGAGTGTATGGTCTTTGTCTCTGTGTGTGTGTGGGGAGTCTCAGTGTACGGTCTTTATCTCTGTATGTGGGGAGTGTACGGTCTTTGTCTGTGTGTGTGTGAGGAGTGTACGGTCTTTGTCTCTGTGTGTGTGGGGAGTGTACAGTCTTTGTCTCTGTGTGTGGAGAGTATACGGCCGGTGTCGTCTTTGTCTCTCTGTGTATGGGGAATGGCTTGTGGAGATTATTATATATATATATGTCATTTTTCTATGTCATTTTGTTTCTGCGTCTTCTCCTCTGTCTTCGTTCATCTCCGCAATGTAATGCATGGCGACAAATGTAAGAAAAGAAATGGCTTATTTGTTGGGACTGGATGTATGTATGCATCATATTTGGTCGCCTTTACGTTTAACCACGAGGGGGCTATCCCGAAAAATATTGTTTTGAGAAAATCAAAGGTGAAGTTTTGGCCCCTTGTTCAGTTTCTTTAAATGACAAGGAGAGTTTTCTCTGTAACCGAACAAATATACACACCAATGAAACCAAACTTTTCCTACTATAGGTAGGGGCAATGCCCACTTTTGGGTGTAGATCAAGATTTCTTGAAACCCACGAAATCTGGGTAGCCCGCTTGTCCCGTCTCCTCTCTCTTCCCTCATCTCCACAACGTAGTAGGCCTACATGACGAAAAATGTGCGATTAGAAGAGATCTTTGTTTTTGTTGGGACTAGGTGTGATGTTCTCTGAGGCGTTTTGTCCTCTGCCTCTTCCCCCTCCCTGTGGGTGTTGGCGGGTGTTCTGATGTGGTTTGCTCCTTCTTTCCTGTCAAATAACTACCATCCTTTTCTACCCTCCTTTTTTATTATTTTTTTTTAACTCTCTCGTAACACCTCTAATCTTCGGCACTTGTGTGACAAATTGTGTTGCGAGTGCAGTAAAACTAACCTCTTTTACTGAAACAAAACTAAGATGATGAAAAATTAATTAAACATAGGCAAGGGAGATTTTTAAAAAAACAACCTTTTTGCACCATACCGTTGCGACAGACTTATCAAAATGCAACAAATAAGAAACGAAGACAGTGTGTTGCAAAATCGGAAAAACAATCAAACAAACGAGGAAATACTTATAGAAAAAATAGCTC